ATGTCAATCTTGATACAATCCTGATATAATCAATCAGCATACTGATTGAATAAATATGGTGAAAGGATACTACCCTAATTCACACCTTCCTGAGTTTAAGCCACTCAGTAACTCCTTTTTCTGCTTACACGACTGCCTCTTGATCTGTGCACAGGTCCCACATGTGTGAATTAAACCTTTATAGTCAATAAAACACAAGTAAGCATATTTCAGGTATTCTTTGCTTTCAGCCAAGATCCATCTGACATCAGCAATGATATCCCTCAGTCTACCTCCTTTACTGGATCTGGCTCGAATTTCTGGCTGTTCCTTGTAGATATACAAAGAGGCTTCACAAAGTCCATGGAAAAATTCCATTATCTTTTAAAATTCCCTATTTCCAAGAACTTGTTGAAGTCTCCTCAGATGGCTGCAACCATTTTTTAATCACCTTCAACAAAACTTTACTTGCACATATTACTGACATTGATAATTTTCACATTCTGTTGAATCACCTTTCTTTGGTGATTGCTTCACAATGGGCATAGACATGGTTCTCTTTCAGTTGGCTAGCCAGCTTTGCTGGCATAGGCAGGTGCACATTTCCACCAATGCTTCCATTTGTTGAAACATCTCGACTGGTACTCTGTCAATTCCTGTAGCCTCATCTTTCATCAATACTTCCAGGGCAGCTTGGATTTCATCCTTTAATACCAACAGTTCTTGATCGTATGCTCCCTCCTCAAATGACTGAATATCAACCAGTTCTTTTTGATACACTGGTGGCGCTGGTTGATTTGAACCACAAGGTCAGTGGTTCAAACTCATCAGCCACTGACTCGACAGCACTTAACAACCACATTCCTTCCATCTTGTGATGTTTCTTGTGTTGTTCAGTTTTTTCGCCCATAGAATCCTTCCATACTGTGACTTAGAGCTTGATTTTTTTTCATCAGTTCTTTCAGCATGAGAAATGCTGAGTGTGTTCTTCCACTTTAGTTCTCTGACACCAGGTCTTTGCAGATTTCCTTATTTGACTCTCTTGAGTCATTCTGAAATCTTCTGTTCAGCTCTTTGCCTTCATTTTATCCTTTTACTTTAGTTATTCTGTGTTCCAGAGCAAGTCTTCCTTGTAGGCATATGGATATTATCCTGTTACTGACTGCACTGTACTTCAGGATAGATGTTGAAGTGTTCTTTAAAACAATGAATGTAATGCCCTTGCCCTTCATTTTGTTATTCTCCACATAGTATGTAGACCATATGATCCTTCTCTTCAAAATGGCCAATACCGGTTCGTTTTAGCTCACTAATGCCTAGGATCTCAACCCTCACGTGTTTAATTTCGCCCTTGACAACTCCTAATTTTCCTAGATTCATACTTCATGCATGCCATGTTCTGATTATTAGTGGATATTCTCAGCTGTTTCTCTTCATTTTGAGTCATGCTCCATCAGCAAATAAAGGTCCTGAAAGCCTTGTTCCATTCATGTCATTATGGTCAGTGCTGTTTTGAGGAGCCAGCACTTCCCCAGTCGTATTGTGAGTGCCTTCCAACCTGAGAGGCTCATCATCCAGCACTAGATCAGACTATGTCCCACTGCTACTCATAAGACTTTCACCGTCCAATTTTTTTTCAAAGTAGATTATCAAGCCCTTCTTCCTAGTCGCATTTCATCTAGAAGCTCCGCTAAAACCTGTCGACCTTGGGTGACCCTTCCAGCATCATAGCCACAACAATCTGACAAACTGACAGACAAGTGCTGCTCACCTGGAATGCCCCACCTGAAATGTAGCATTGAGTTCCTCTGTGCTATGCCTAGTGTGCCTTTCCCTTGTTCTATGAGGCATCCAGGAAGGTCTCTGACCACTGTGTTCTCAGCATCCTCAGCTCTCTCTGCCACTGCCTTCCTTTGACATTGATCAGACACTGTCAGTGACTGCTGCTGTGTTTGCAGACAGGGCACTCACAGAGGACCTGGGCCCAGTAAGCTCAGCAGTCCAGGTTTGTCCATCACAGGACCCAGGACGAACTGGGTCAGTGCTTGATGGTAACGATGGTGTACGTGACAGGCCAAGGCTCACCCTGACATGTCCAGGGCTCTCCAAAGCATCCAACACTTCCATGGCCTTCCATGTCAGTGCCTTAAAGCCAAACAAGGGCTGTCAGGCCCTGGATTCTAGAAGCAGAAGCGCATACAGCTCAGTGAATACGACCCTGGGTACTGAAGGCAGAGGGGCCTGGGTACAAAGCACAGCTTGATCATATGTGAGGTGTGTGACCTTTGGTCAAATCATGTAACCTCTTTGGGCCTCAATTTCTTCATTTAGAAAGTGGACACATCTGTAAATAGTGTCTGCCACACAGGCTGACTTTAAAGGACAGAGATGTAAAACCCCCAGCACATCGTAGGCACATAGTTACTGGTGATAGCAAGCATTTGTGTTCACCCTCTGCTTATGCAGATGTTGGCACTGTGGACAACTCCTTGGAGCTGGAATAGTCTTTGTTGTCCTTCCTTGAAATGTCTGAGTTTTTCCAAAACTGACCCCTTCCACTCTATCTTGGATTGCCCTCTCCTTCCGAAAGCCAGGGGCTGTTGGAGGCACAGAACCCAACCCTCCACAGGCTCTTATACGTGTTTATTGAACAGCTGCCTAAGTGAGCAAATGAATGAATCTGCCAATGAGCCAATGAAAGCCCTTTTTCTCAGGTCAGGGAGACAACCACGAGAGCAGCCCTTGAATGCTGGAATGAAGGTTTCCCAGGGGACCAAATGTGCACACACATACACATAGACCCCTGTCTCTGTCCCCACAGGGTCTGTACCTGCCGGCTCTTTCCCCGCCACCTCCATCCCTGCAGGATCCTCACCTGCAGTGCTGGTGACACCTCAGCTGGAGACCAAGAGCATCGGGGCCAGTGTGGAGTTCCACTGTGCTGTGCCCAGCGACCGGAACACTCAGCTCCGCTGGTTCAAGGAAGGGGGTCAGCTGCCTCCTGGCCACAGCGTGCAAGACGGGGTGTTGCGGTGAGCTCCCCAGCTCAGGGCTCATAATAGGCTGAGTTAAAATACCTGACCTATGGGACTTGGCATGAACCAGTGTCCTTGGGCAAGTCACTTCACCTCTCTAAGCCTCAGTGTTCTTGGGTATGCAGTGGGTCATCTGAGACTTTGTAGAGCATTTAGCACAGTAAACTGTGGCCCGTGCCATCTTATTATCAAGGAGAGAGAATTGGCGTTAGGTCCAGACATAAGGTTGAGTCCAGAAGTATCGCTATGAGGGTAGCAGTCCGTCATTCACAGATTTAGTTTAAATGAAGCGTGTCTAAGCATGTCTCTGTGACCAGCGGAGCCTGCAGACAAGTTCTCTCAGTAATACGCCTGTCTTCATCTCGTTGTTGTTGTTATGTGCTGTGGAGTCGGTTCCGACTCATAGCAACCCTGTACAGGGTTTCTGAGGCTGTAAATCTTTACGGGAGCAGACAGCCTCATCCTTTTCCTAAAGAACAGCTGGTAGTTTCGAACTGCTAACCCTCATTGTTGTTGTTGTTAAGTACCATGGAGTCGGAACCGACTCATAGCGACCCTGTACAGGGTTTCCGAGGCTATAAATGTTTACGGGAGCAGAAAGCCTCATCTTTCTCCTACGAAGCGGCTCGTAGTTTCGAACTGCTGACTTTAAGGTTCACAGCCCCACTCGTAACCATTACGCTACCAGAGCTCCTTGCTGACCTTCATTAGGTGCTTTAAATAAAAAAGGTCCAAGCAAAACAGTGGCTTTCCAGGGGATCTGCTACGCCAGTCCAGTTCCAGGCTGAGGGGTCAGCTCAGGTTAGAGAAACTGTTTTTTGGGATTCCAAAGATGACCCATCATAATAGAATTTCTCGAATGACATAGGACAATTACACAGGCTGATCAGGAAGAAGTTTTAAGAAGATGGAAAACTGCATTGTGGAGGGAAAAGACTGGGAGAGTTGGCAGTGAGAAAATTTTTTCTTTTTCCCATCACAGTAACATATAAGTTCATTCTTTAAAGGTAGCCAGGGCTCTCGAGAATTTCACTGAGAAATCTTATCCCAGCCACCCTACAGCCCTGATCTTGCCTCTTCAGACTTCTTTTTTCTTCCCAAACTCTAGTAACATTCAAACAGAATACAATTTGAGCCCCTCTAGGGTACCAAGGAGCCCTGGTGTGGTGCTATAGGTTAATACATTGGACTGTAAGGTCAGTTTGAACTGCAAGGTCGGTGGTTCAATCACCAGCCACTGATCCTCAGAAATCCTATACAGTGTCCCTATGAGTTGAAACTGATTCAATGGCACTTAACAACAACAGGATGCCAAAGGACTTCTGGTGTGGCATTGTAGGATAAACACACAACTGCAAGGTCAGTGGTTCAAATTTACCAGTCATTCCTCAGAAACCCTAAACCCTAAACAACAACAACAGTATACCAAAACTGCAATTTTGATATGGTATCAATCAAAAGAGCAGAATTTTTGAGCGAAGGATGTTGTTGTTGTTGTTGTTATGTGCTGTGGAGTCGGTTCCGACTCATAGCGACCCTGTACAGAGTTTCCAAGGCTATAAATCTTTATGGGAGCAGAAAGCCTCATCTTTCTCCTGCGGAACAGCTGGTAGTTTCAAACTGCTGACCTTGCGGTTCACGGCCCGATTCATAACCACTACGCTACCAGAGCTCCTTCAAGGAAAAGATGGGAGAGATCAAAACACCACCTTCAGAACGTTTAGACCAAGACAGAAGATACGTTGAGAAACTAATGCTTCACATTTGGATAGTTTTGTTTAATAAGGTTCCTATGATTTTGTAGCAATACTTTTTGACTTGCCATGGTATAGACAGATGACCTCAGATGTCAGTTGCCATTTGGTAACCAAGATCTTGAGCTTTAGACCAGAAGGTCCTTGTACAATGAATGTGGTGACACCCACCCTGCTACAGTAAAATTTGTGAAATCAGGGACCTGTATAAGAGAGAAACCTGTCAGAGAAGGAAGATGCAAAAATCTTCCACGAAAATGAGCACCAGAAAAGTGGTAAAGCTGCACCCTGTCAAAGGCAGAAAACGTCTGAGATCTGGAAAAATGAGGCAATCCTAGCACATACCAGCCCTCACAGGTTGTACTTACCTACCTTGTGTGATTATTGGATGAGAAGAAGAAGTGTGTTGATCTCTGACAGCTTGCAACTCTTGGGCAGTCTCATCAGCTATTTGTACTCCTTGATGCCTTATTATTTTTTTCTTTACAGAATCCAGAACTTGGACCAGAGTTGCCAAGGAACATATGTGTGCCAGGCTCATGGACCATGGGGACAGGCCCAAGCCAGTGCCCAGCTGATTGTCCAAGGTAGGAGGTTGGTTTGGGGCTTCTGTGGAGAGCAGGGGAGAGGTGAGCAGGGCAAGGGGACCAGGGCTCAGATGATGTTCCCCAGGAAGTCCTTTAAATGCATCAGAATCCAGAGAGTGATCTGATTGCATCATCCTTGTGTCTAGATAGAGGAAGAAAACTTGATCAGTTTAACACAGGGTGGAAGAAGGCCCATGAAAGGAATGAATGTGTGGGTGGTCAAACAAACCAATGACCGAATGAATAAGTGGGTAAACATGTGAGTAAGTGAATAAACAAAATGAACAAGCAAATGAGTATGCTCATATGTGCAGGAAGGAATGAATAGTAGGGCTCCAGCAGCACCTTTTCCTGGTAGTCAGCAGCCTCCCTCGGGCCAGGCCTGAGCTGCACTGATTTCACTTGTCCCTTGGCCTCTCTCCTCCCCCAGCCCTGCCCTCAGTGCTCATCAACATCCGGACCTCCGTGCAGACTGTGGTGGTCGGCCATAGTGTGGAATTTGAGTGCCTGGCCATGGGTGATCCAAAGCCCCAGGTGACTTGGAGCAAAGTTGGAGGACGTCTGCGGCCTGGGGTTGTGCAGAGCGGAAGCATTGTCAGAATCACCCACGTGGAGCTGGCGGACGCAGGACAGTACCGCTGCACTGCCACCAACGCTGCTGGCACCACCCAGTCCCACGTGCTGCTGCTTGTGCAAGGTGAGGGCCAGCAAGGACCTCCGTGGGCACAGGCAGTGGGGTACAGGCTTCTGGTACCAGTCTCCCGCCCCCACCGCCTTCTTCACTCAGCTTTTCCACTGTCTGGTGGGATTTTCCATTTTGTGTATTTAAGGGGAAGGTTTCACAAGTGGTGGCAGCTGGGGATGAAGTAAGCATTCTCGAGGCAGGCTAGACCTCACTGACCAAGAGCTACTCCTTGGGCCTAAATTGAACTGGGGATAATGGAGGTGGGACTTCTCGCAGGAAAAGGATACCTACATCCAGAGCCTGGCTGTAATACAAGCAGCTTGTGGTTGACTGCTAACCTAAAGGTTGACAGATTAAACCCACCCAGTGACTTGGAGAAAGAAAGGCCTGCCGATCTGATCGCATCCAAGAAAACCCCATGGAGCAGTTCTCTCTGTAACACATGGCACCTGGCATCACCAGGAGTCGGATCATCTTGGCAGCCACAAGTGTTTTTAGTCCTCATCTACCTGAAGTGCTGGCCCTGAGTGGGCGGGGAGAGCTATAGCCCAGCTGGATGGTACAGACATACCATAAACATGAGTGGGTGTCAAACAAAGTCTAAAACAAGGACGAAGAAATAAGTGTTTTCTCTAAAGGCAATTCCTTTTTTTTCTTTAAGTATTTATTGTGAATTGAGTGATAGTTTACATGGGAGAGCATCAGTTTTACACTCATTGTTTCATTGCAATGATTACAGTCTCCTCCGTGCATCATTATTCAAGTGTTTGCTTCTAGTCCCTCTGGTTTTTTGTTTTGTTTTGGGGATGTACACAGAAACATTCAGGAATCTATAATCACTTAAACAACCAAAGGGCACATTCTGCAAACCTGCTTCCTGGCCACCAGCACACAGCCTTTCTCTTTCCAGGTGTCTAGAGTCCTCAGCTGCTCTATCTTTCCATGTCCTCATCTCTGTAAAGGCAATGCTTTTTTACATACAATTTACCCCTAAATCTACTCCCTCATACTGTCTGGCACCTAGTAGGTATTCAGCAAATTTAAGGCTGCACAATTTACTGCCCAGATGTGGGACCCTCCTAGAGACCCCACCCCTGTTAGCTCTCCCCTCAACCCTGAATAGCAGTGTGAGTGGAGTTGCATGGACCTGTCCCTAACTTTGACTCTGCTGCTCTCTCTGTACAATAGGTGAGCAGCCATTTCTCCCCCTCAAAGCCACAATTTCCTCATCTGTAAAATGAGAACACTGTGCCTCCCTTTAAGAGATAACAAGGTTGAACAAGTCCAGACAGAGAAATGATGACATATGTCTCCTTCCTTCTCACCCTCTCTCCCAAGCCTTGCCCCAGATCTCAACACCCCCAGAGGTCCGTGTGCCTGCTGGCTCTGCAGCTGTCTTCCCCTGCATGGCCTCTGGCTACCCCACTCCTGACATCACCTGGTCCAAGGTAAATGCTGGGCAGGGAACCCGCAGGCATATCAGGGGAACAGGGAATAATTCATAAGCATCTCAGTGTCCCCAGGGGCTGACAAGGCTTAGCACAGACTTGTGTGCTGTCAGTACTGAGGTGTCCCGGAGGCAGGGCTGGATACTAACCCTTGGAAAGTGTGGGCTAAGGCCAGGTCCAAGTACTCTGTGTTTGCAGCTGGATGGCAACCTGCCGCCCGACAGCCGCCTGGAGAACAACATGTTGATGCTGCCCTCCGTCCGACCCCAGGATGCTGGAACCTATGTCTGCACTGCCACCAACCGCCAGGGCAAAGTCAAAGCTTTTGCCCATCTGCAGGTGCCAGGTAAGACCTGTCCCCTGGAATTGGGCAACACCCTAATGGTTCAAGGTGGGCTTCCCCTCTAACTGTGCCCTCTGTCGGCAGAGCGCGTGGTGCCCTACTTCACACAGACTCCCCACTCCTTCCTGCCGCTGCCCACCATCAAGGATGCCTACAGGAAGTTTGAGATCAAGATCACCTTCCGGCCCGACTCAGCTGATGGTAAGCAGGAAAGGAGCTGATTTGCGGGGCCTGGCCTGGGATCGGGATCTTTGTAGTAGCCTGCCAGCATAGTCCGAACCCTGGCAATCTCAAATCCTGTCCACCTCCCTTGACATTCCCTGTCCAGGAGCTCCAAGCCTGCTGGGCCTCCCAGTCAAGACCTGCTCTTCATGCCTCCTCTCTCCCATCCCTGCACCCCTGTGATGTATCTTGAACCTCCCATGGTCCCATCTCCCTCTGTGGGACATCCACATGCTGCCTCTTATCCCTTCTTCCTACTGCCATCTCTGGTCCTCTGCCCCTCGGGGTCTCCCATTTCTCACCCTCTCCTCTCTCTCTCTCTTCCCGTTTTTCTCCGCTCTCTGCTTTTCACTGTCCAGGCCTCCTCCTCTACTCCGGTGAGTCTGCCTCCCTCTCCTCCTTCAGGTAGACCTAGCTGTATGAGTGAAGCACATTCACCCTCTCACTGGGGACTCCCAGAAAGGCCCTTCTTTTTGGTCACCAACCCTGAGAGAGTGAGAAGGCCCTGGTTTTATGAAGTATACCACAGTGGGGACAGGAGGTTACAGTAGAAAGGCTCAGGGAAGAGCTGGGGTGGTTCCTGGGGCTGGGGCGTGTAGGGAGCCTTGTAGTGAGACTGGCGGCCCTGACCTAGCTGTGTCTGCCCAGGGATGCTGCTATACAATGGGCAGAAGCGGAGTCCAGGGAGCCCCACCAGCCTGGCCCACAGGCAGCCCGACTTCATCTCTTTTGGCCTCGTGGGTGGAAGGCCTGAGTTCCGGTGAGACCCTTGCCCTCCTATTCACAGTAAAAGAAGGGGCTGGGAGATAGGATGGCAGAGCTGAAGTCAGGTACCCACTGCTCTGGTACAAAGGAGTCCTGGAGCAAGAAGGAGACAGAGCTTTTCCCTTGGTGATCACATGATCTGCTGGAATAGGCACAATATACCAGTCAGATGGAGGAAGCAGCCAGCTCAGACACGTGTAAAATGGGCACTCAGTGGCACTGAGTGCATGCATATGGGTGGAAGCTGCAGGTCAGATGTCATTCATTCATTCATTCAACAGCTGATCACCTACTATGTGCCAGGCACTGATGCAGACATCAACAAAACAGATAAGCGCTAGCCCTTGTAGGAATATACTTTTATGTTCTAGTAGACAAAGACCAGCCAAAGAGAGGCAGAAACCAGGGAATTTCTGAGACTGGAGGATTCTGAGGAAGTGAAGCAGGGGTGGCTGGGGTGCCCTGCAACTGGGGGAATTGGAGCCCTCTGGGCTGCTCCGGAAGAGATCCCTAGGAGAGGATGCAGGGAGAGAAGACCTGTGGAGCATCATGGATGGGATGGGAGGACAAGGTAGGGACAAAGACAGGAACAGCCCCCAAACCATGTCTACAGGAAATGGTCGCATCCTTTCTCGGGTGCCCCTTAGTCCAGGCTTCATATTAACTCCACCTCCACCTTCTGCTCCACTGGAATAGGTTTGACGCGGGCTCTGGCATGGCCACCATCCGCCACCCCACGCCCCTGGCCCTGGGCCAGTTCCACACTGTGACCCTGTTGCGCAGCCTCACCCAGGGCTCCCTGGTTGTGGGCACCCTGGCCCCAGTCAACGGGACCTCTCAGGTGAGACCCAACCCTGGCCCCTCTTCCCAGCCCCAACCCCTGCCCAACCTCTGCTGCCATTCCCAACTTCCCCCTCTCTTCAGGGCAAGTTCCAGGGCCTGGACCTGAATGAGGAGCTTTACCTGGGCGGCTACCCCGACTACGGCGCCATCTCCAAGGCGGGGCTGGGCAGCGGCTTCATAGGTGAGCCTCTTGCCAGGGCCAAACCTCACCTGGCTGACTAGTGAATGTTGTAGGGGCAGTCTGGGGCTGAGCAGGCTTCCCAGGACCCCCTGGTTCATCCTTCCTGCCCCCAGGCTGTGTCCGGGAGCTACGCATCCAAGGCGAGGAGATTGTTTTCCACGACCTCAACCTCACAGCACATGGCATCTCCCACTGCCCCACCTGCCGGGACCGGCCCTGCCAGGTGACTCCACACACGCTGCCCAGCCCCCTCTACCCCTGGCCCCAGCTGTGGCTGGCTGCTGTGGGCAGTGTAGGAGAGCAGGAAAGCATTCTTGCCTGACTTCTGGGGACCACTTTGCAGAATGGTGGCCGATGCCATGATTCAGAGAGTAGCAGCTACGTGTGCCTCTGCCCAGCCGGATTCACTGGGAGCCGCTGTGAGCACTCGCAGGCCCTGCACTGCCACCCAGGTATGTGCCCACCCACCCAGTCACTGCACCCTGGACACCCTGTGTCCCCTGTGACCCTTCTGTAATTCAGGTACTCGCCCCACCCCTCCCTGGTCCATACCCTCTCCATCACTGCTACCCAAGTACTTCCTCCTCCTCCTAGTATCGCCACTCAGGTACCACCACCTACTATCTTATTCCCCTTGTCCCCATTACCTACTAGCTAGGTACTCATTAACCTCACAGTGTTATCCAGGTACACCGTCTCAGTCACATGCCACACTCATACACCCATCATTACCACCAGCACCCAATCCAGCCTCCTCGGGCCCCACTCTTGCTGCCTTCCATTTCTCCCTCCATGCCCTCAGACCACCCTGGGTGGCACAAATGGTTATGCACCCAACTACTAGCTAAAAGGTTGGCAGTTCGAACCCACCAAGAGGCACCTTGGAAAGCAGGCCTGGAGATCTGTTTCCAAAAGGTCACAGTCTTAAAAACCCTGTGGCATGCACAAGTAGCGTCTCCATGAATTGGGATTTACTCCATGGAAATGAACCACTTCCTCACCCGGCTGGATGCAGCCTTCCAAGGCTGACATGGCTCTGGAGAGGGATGGGCTGAGCTCCACCCTCTCTAGAGTCCCCTCAGTGTCCTCATTAGCCTTGCTGTCCATCTCCTTCCCCCAGAGGCCTGTGGACCTGATGCCACCTGCGTGAACCGGCCTGACGGTCGAGGCTACTCCTGCCGCTGCCACCTGGGCCGCTCAGGGATAAAGTGTGAGGAAGGTGAGAGAGCCAGACCCAAGACCTGCAAGATGCCAGAAGGATGGGGAAACTGGGCAGGGGCACTCTGAGGCCACGATGGGTCATGTTGTTGTTGTTGTGTGCCATCGAGTCCATTTCTACTCACAGTGATCTGAGAACAGAGTAGAAGAGTCCCATAGTGTTTCGCAGGCTGTAGCTTATGGGAAGAGATTGACAGGTCTTTTCTCCTGCCGAGCGGATGATGGGCTCACAGCCAACCTGTCAGTTAGTAGCCAAGCACTTAGCCATTGTACCACCAGGGTTCCTATGATAGACCATAAAGATGATAAAATCTTGTTAGAGACCTTCACCTGCTGGTCTGGAGGGTCAGGGAACAGGGGGCTCTGGTGCTGCTACGGTTGTTGCCTAGCTGACCCTGAGCCTCTGGGACTGGGGAAGAGGACAGATAGTGGTCCAGGAGGGCCTCTTACATCCCCATTACCCTGGCTGAGCTGTGGCTGTTGCAGGTGTGACCGTGACCACACCCTCCATGTCGGGCACCGGCTCCTACCTGGCACTGCCTGCCCTCACCAACACACACCACGAGTTACGTCTGGACATTGAGTTCAAGCCATTGATGCCCGATGGAATCCTGCTGTTCAGTGGGGGGAAGAGTGCACCTGTGGAGGACTTTGTGTCCCTGGCGATGGTTGGAGGTCACCTGGAGTTCCGTTATGAGTTGGGCTCAGGTAAGTACTGGCAGCAAATGGAGATGGGTGTGGATGCACGCTTTATGTTCCCCTTGGCTCCCCATGGCCCAGCGAGGCATAGAAGAATACATTCAGGACTTGGACAAACCACTGCATCGTTTCTCTGTGTGACTTTAGGCAAGCCCTTTGTGAGTCTCAGTGTCCCAACTTGGAAATGAGAAGGTTGTAAGAAGCTCATTATCAGCTAAGTCTTTGTATGTGGTGGGGTGGGACTACCTGTTCGCCCAGCCTGCCTGGTCTCCTCCCCAGGGCTGGCTGTTCTACGTAGCATCGAACCACTGGCACTGGGCCACTGGCACCACGTGTCTGCAGAACGTCTCAACAAGGACGGCAGCCTGCGGGTGAACGGTGGGCGACCTGTGCTGCGCTCCTCGCCAGGCAAGAGCCAGGGCCTCAACCTGCACACCCTTCTCTACCTTGGGGGCGTGGAGCCATCCGTGCAAGTGCCCCCAGACACCAACATCAGCACTCACTTCCATGGCTGTGTGGGCGAGGTAAGGACCAGCCTCCAGAAGACAAGTTGGGGAGAGGAAGGGGTGCAAACTGGGGCCCTGCTGCTGCAGCTAACCCAAGACTATGGAACCAGACCTTTCACCTCACTGAGCCTCAGTGTTCTCATCTGTAAAATGGGGATAGTAACACCTACTTGGTATACTGTGGACCGACTGCACTGATGTTGCTCCTGGCACACAGGCACCCAATTTATTTCCCTCCCCACCCAGCCCTAGAGAACCACATGCTACCACTCCTGCTCGCATTTGGGCTCCCAGCTACCCTGTACTGGCATTCCCCTGGGCCTCTGCCTCCTCTGCCCCCATCAGTCCCTCAGTGCACCTGTGCCCACAGGTGTCAGTGAATGGAAAGCGGCTGGACCTCACCTATAGTTTCCTGGGCAGCCGGGGCATTGGGCAGTGTTATGACAGCTCCCCGTGTGAGCGCCAGCCCTGCCGAAACGGAGCCACGTGCATGCCCGCTGGCGAGTATGAATTCCAGTGTCTGTGTCGAGATGGCTTCAAAGGTGTGAGCCCCGCCCACAGTGGGCCCAGGAGGGAGAGTGGGGTGGCCAGTGGCCACTCGTACCCAGGCTCGCTCACCACCGCCCTGTCCCATAGGAGACCTCTGCGAGCAGGAGGAGAACCCTTGCCAGCTCCGTGAGCCCTGTCTGCATGGGGGCACCTGCCAGGGCACCCGCTGCCTCTGTAGTCCTGGCTTTTCTGGGCCACGCTGCCAACACGGTAAGCTAGTCCTAGCTTCTCTCCACCACCCTGCTGGGCCCTGGGGCTGGACACATTAACCACCAATGAGACTCCGCTCTTCCCCCATAGGCTCTGGACGTGGCACAGCAGAATCCGATTGGCATCTTGAAGGCAGTGGGGGCAATGGTATGGGCTTGGCGTGGGCGGGCTTGGCCTCCTCCTCTTCCAGTGGGTCCACACACACTCATTTCCGGCCTCCAAGCAAGGAAGGCTCATGGGAGGGCTACCCAGAGCATAGACAGGCAGAATCACAAGCGCAAATTCGCAGGGCTGGGTCCTGCCTCAGACTTACGGTGATGTCGATTTGGGCAGTCCTTGAACCACCTCAGTCTCCTCTTCTGTGTTCTTGCATTCAGTCAACAAATAACCGTTGTGTGCCCAGCCTGGTCTTGGGACCAGGAAGTTTAAGGACAGGATCTTTGCTCTCAAGAAGGAGACCTGGTGGCGCAGTGGGTTAAGGCTTGGGCTGCTAACTGCAAGGCTGGTTTGGACCCACCAGCTACTCCTCAGGAGTATCATCTGGTTTGTATAGTCCTATAGAGATTAGCTGTCTCGGAAACCCTGAGGACGAGTTTTACTCTGTCCTAGAGAGGTGCTATGAACCTCAACCAACAGCAGTGTGTTTGACTTTGCTCTCAAGAATTCCACAGTCTATTTAAAGTGAAGACGATGATAAAGAATGCTTATTAAACATTTATTAATGTACAAACTGTTCCATAGACATGTAACACCCAATTTATTATGAAGATAAATGGAGAACCCATGGTATGCTGGTTACAGACATGGACTGTGGAATCAGCCTGCCTGGTTTAAATCCTAACCCTGCCCCTGATTAGCTGTGTGACTTTGGGCAAGTGTTTTAACCTCTCTGTGCCTCAGTCTCCTCAGGTACAGTGGGAGACATGTAACATCCTTCCACAAGGCTTTGGATGAAACTTGTGTGAAGGTAAAATCCCTAGAGCGGTACAAGTGGGTACAGGATGTTCATTTAATTAATATTCTGTCTAATCCACAGAGTGGTTCTGGGCAGGCTCATTCCACAGTCCCTGCTAGGACTCAGTTGATGGAATAGTGTTTGTAACACACTGTGAATCTCTCATCACAGTGCCAGGCGCATAGTAGGTGCCCGATAAATGTAAGCTGTTATCCTCATCATTGGGGGGGAGACTGGCAAAGCGTCCCCTGCACTTGTAGCTAACAAGCCTCCAATGGCCAGAACCGGCATGGAAGGATGGGCAGTGAGCTGACGGGGCTGGGGACGTGGATGCCACACACTGTATGGACATTGGAGCAAAAGGCCCAGGTGCTGAGCAAGGCTTCCCACTTACTAGGAAAGTCCCTTCACTCCCAGCCTGTCTTCCCATCTGTCTGATGGAGGTTACACAAGGATTCCTAACCAAGCTTTTGTGTGTCACACACAGAAGTGACCAGCTATTTGTGTCGGACCAGCGCGTTTCTCAGGATGTAGGACTTTCAGGGCTAAAACCAGGACTGAACTAGACAATCAGGGTAGTTGGTCACCCCCTGTTGAGTTTGTCAGCTGCACAAAACAAAATAGCATAGAATTACAAAGGAAGCCAATACTACCCAAACAAGCTTACCAAAATAGTCTTTAAACTTGCTGATTTATAATGTATGCACTTCTTTATTGACACATGAGATAACAAGATCTCCTTATCACTTAGTGATAAGTGATAAGTATAAACAACCATTTGGAAGATCTGCAGCTACTTTGATGTGATAAGTAAATATGTGTGTGACTTCTATTAGTGACTGAGTCTCAGGTCCTGCTACTGCTGCTACAGTTTGTTGCCTACAGCCACAATTAAAGGAACTGCTAAATGCAGTGAGAAGTGAGGGAAAATACAGATGGCATTTCCCTCATCCAAGTTCCAAAAACCAAACTCATTGCTGGGGAATCGATTCTAACTCATAGAGACCCTCTAGGACACAACAGGACAGAAGCAGACTGCATATCTGTCTGCTGCACAGCAGCTGGTTGGTTTGAACTGCTGACCTTTCAGTTAGCAGCCAAGTGCTTGTTCACTGTGCCACCAGGGCTCCACTTCCAAGTTCCCCAAGCCCATAACCATCAAATCGATGCTAACTCATAGCAACCCCTATATAAGGTTTCTCAGACTGCAGAGCTATATGAGAGCGACCTCATCTTTCTCCCATGGAGTGGCTGGTGGGTTTGAACCACTGACTTTCCAATTAGCAGCTTGGGGCTTCAAGTTCACAGCCTCACCCCCACCACCCATGCACACACACACTGAATTCTGTCCATGGCCACTTGGGTCTCCAAGGCTTTGGGTTCTGAACCCCAGTACTGGTTTGTGTTGGTGTGGAGGTGGGGCTTATGAAATCTGAGGATTGTTGGGCGCTCCTGCAGGTGAGCAGGTGGCCCAGCATTCCTCACTTCTCCCGTAGACGCCCCTGGGCAGTATGGTGCCTATTTTCATGATGGTGGCTTCCTTGCCTTCCCTGGTCGCATCTTCTTCAGAGGGTGAGCTGGAAGTAGCAGGGGGCCCGGCGGGAAGGACAGGTCCCAGGGAGGTGAGGAGGGGACCTGGGATGTGGGCACCTGTGACCTTCACATGCTGCTCCCTCCACAGCCTACCTGAGGCACCTGAGACCATCGAACTGGAGGTGCGGACCACCACAGCCAATGGCCTCCTGCTTTGGCAGGGTGCGGTGAGTAGCCATGGGACATGGAGTCTTGGGGGCCCGGGGACAAGAGGCTAGCCTCTTAGTGGCAAGGGCAGTGGGGAAAGAAGGCAGCACTACAGCCTTAGGGGCCCCAGCTTTCCAGAGCGGGAACCCCAGAGACCCCATGCTTCCCTGGCAGATTGTGGGAGAGGCTGGCCAAGGCAAGGACTTCATCAGTCTTGGGCTTCAGGAAGGACAGCTTGTCTTCAGGTAGGTGCAGCTCCCAGGTCCCCAGCCCCACCCCTCACTTGTCAGGCCTACCCCAGCTCATACCTTCTTGGACTTGTGTGACCTACAGCTACCAGCTGGGCAGTGGGGAAGCTCGCCTGGTCTCTGAGGACCCCATCAATGATGGCGAGTGGCATCGGGTGATGGCGCTGCGGTAAGGGTGTCCAACTGGGCTCTAGGGAAAGGGGCCCAGAGTTCCGGAATGGACTGGGATGCCCTCACCATGGGCAGGGAGGCAGGCACTGAGCTCCAGGTGGGCAGAACTTGAAGCCGGAACAAGGGGAGAACCCACCGCCCAGAGTACAGACTTTAAGAGCAGGACAGGACTCCAGGGGCTGGGGGGACAGCTAAAAACTGGTAGGGGGCCCAGATCTCCCCCATGGAAGGAGGAAAGAATTCCATGGGCAGGGCAGACTTCTCAGCCTATAGTTTCTGTGGCAAAGGGTGGGAGGGAAGAAAGTGACCCACTTCCTCTGCAGAGAGGGCCGGAGAGGCTCCATCCAGGTCGACGGTGAGGAGATGGTCAGCGGCCAGTCCCCAGGCACTAATGTGGCAGTCAACACCAAGAGCAGTGTCTACATCGGTCAGTGGCACGTGAGCCTCTGTGTGGGCCTGGGCGGTCTTTGGGAGGGAGAGGGACTCTTCCAGCACTGGAGCAAGAATGGACCTTGTTTCCCTTCCCTACTCACTCCCTGGACTCCTGGAGCCCCGGCCCAGCAGCTGACATCACTACACCCCTCCTCCCTCCAATTCTCTTCCCACAGGCGGGGCCCCCGATGTGGCTAAGCTGACTGGGGGAAGGTTCTCGGCAGGCATCACAGGCTGTATCAAGAATCTGGTGCTACACTCGGCCTGGGCCGGCGCCCCACCCCCTCAGCCCCTGGACCTGCAGCACCATGCCCAGACAGGGGCCAACACGCGCCCCTGCCCCTCGTAGGCACCCGCCTGCCCCACACAGACTCCCGGGCAGCACCCCAGCCTGACAATGTTGAGTATATTATTATTAATATTATTATGACGACTTTTTTGTAAGAAACAGAGGCGATATCACACTTCGCTGCTACCGCCCTGGGCTGGACTGGAGGGTGGACACACCCTGGGCAAAGCCACAAGGCTGGTAGGCAGGGCAGATTGGATGTGGCCGCGTCTCAGAAGGCTCCAGGAACTGGGGCCAGGTATGTGACTGGGTAGACCCAGAACCGCCCCTACTGGTCCCTCAGGTGGAACTTCTGGAGGATGCCTCCATTTCTGCAGCCCTTGGGCAGCCTTCATTCCTATGAAAGCCCTTTTGGACACTCTAGCCTCGGCTTCCAGCCTGGTACCTCACAGCTACCTGACGGGAAGGCACCGGCAACTGTCTTTGCCATTCTCCCCTGGGTTGCAAGAGTTCTTGAGAGTCAGCCGTGGAACAAAAAGTCACTCAGCCCTGGGCAGCAGCTTCCCACCCTCATCAGCCAACATCCCAGCCCCTCTACCTCTTCCCAGCTGTCCTCCCTCAACACCCAGCCCAGGGGCTGTGCCCTCTGGACTGCAAGGGAAATCCCTCCCCAACTCTTCCCAGGAGCTGCTCCTAGCCCAACACAGCACAGCACAGCACTGAGAGGCTGTGTCCCACCATCCATCTGGAAGTGAAGGCCCAGGGGACAGTGGGAGAAGGTGTTGATGGTCAGGATGAGTTAGTGTTTGGGGGGCAGCGGGGAGCCAGAGCCCTTGACTGGGAGGATGGAAAGTCAATGATAGCCCGACCCTATCTGTGGAAACTGAGGGCCCAACTAGAGGCAAGCGCCCTCCCACCAGCAGCTCCAGACTGTGGGGGTCAGGCTACCTCCCCTCCATGTCCTAGAAGGGACCCTCCTGAGGTCTTTGTCTTGGTTTTTCTTAAATAAACGGTGCTATCCCCGCCAGGACTGTCTCTTGTGTCTGTGCCTAGGATTTAACTTGGTGGAACCTGAGGGTGGGCCAACTTGGGGCACCCAAGAGCAGTTGATACCTAGAAGGCAGCTTCAGGCTAGAAGGCCCTGATTCCCTGTCCTGGGATGTACACATGCTGAATGTTTTCTGGGCACACGTCATGCTCTGTGATGGGCATTTTACCTGTAGAACCACACATGCAGTGTTTGACAACTCTAACACTGAAATATACCCACTAACCTGCTACTGCTGAGTCGTTGCCAACTCAGTGACCTCATGGGGTAGAGTAGAACTGCTGTGTAGGGTTTGCAAGACTAGGAATCTTCATGGGAACAGACAATTCCATCTTTCTCCCTCAGAGCAATTGGTAGATTTAAACTTCTGTCTTTTCGGTTACCAGTTCAATGAAACTGAAGCGAAACTGAAGGTTAGAGAGCTTCATTCTGCCGCTCTTTTATCTAGTATTTCTTGAGTAGCTACTATAGCCCAGACATTACTCTAGGGATTGGGGAATACAGCAGTAAGCAAAATAGACAAAAATGTCTTCATGAGACTGGTGTTTTAGTATAGGAGACTGACAAGATACAAAAATTAATATGTTGTTGTTAGGTGCTAAGTTGATGCCAGTGCATAGTGATCCTATACACAACAGAAAGAAACACTGCCCAGTCCTGTGCCATTCTTACGAATGTTTTGTTTGAGACCATTGTTGCTGCCATGTGTCCGTCCATCCTCTTCTTTGCTGACCCTCTACTTTACCAAGCATGATGTCCTTTTCCAGGGACTGGTTCCTCCTGACAACATAGTACATAGACGAAGTCCTGCTAGCCTCAATCCTAAGGAGCGCTCTGGTTGTGCTTCTTCCGAGGTACATTTGCTTGTTCTCTGGCAGTCCATGGTACTTGCAACATTCTTCACCAACACCATAATTCAAAGACATCAACTCTTTGGTCTTCCTGATTCATTTTCCAGCTTTCACAAAAAAAGGAGGTCACTCTTCAAAGTGAAATCTTTGCTTTTTACCACTTTACAGAAGTCTTGTGCAGCAGATTTGCTTTGTTACCTGCTGCTTCCATAAACATTGATTGTGGATCTCAGTGAAACTGCAATCTTTCCTCCACTTTCCATGATGTTTATTGGTCCTGTTGTGAGGATTTTTTGTTTTCTTTACATTGAGTTATAATTCATACTGAAGACTATAGTCTTTAATCTTCATCAGTAAGAGTTTCAAGTCCTCTTCCCACCCAGCAAGCAAGGTTGTTAATGAGCCTTCCTCTAATCCTGATGCCACATTCTTCATATAGTCCAGTTCCTCAGATTATTTACTCAGCGTACAAGTAAATAAGGATGAAGCCCTACAACTTTGAATAGACTCCTGTGAACCTGGGTGGAGACCTGGTTGGCCAGCAGTGTGGCAAGACCTGGGGACTATTGGGCCCAGAGTCAGTGACATAACCACAGAGGACTAGAGTGGAGAGTGAAGCATCCAGCTGATAAGAAGAGAGGGCATATGCACAAGAACACCCACACTTGCAGATAATACCCACTTGACCTACCCTCAACCAGAAGAAGCTCAACCAGAAGAAGACAGAAGAGGACAAAAAGAGTAATCTGATACAATTTGATGAACTTGACCTACACCTATGGATGCAGTAGCTCAAAAGAGGGAACAAATCTTTACAGTGAGGATCATTCCCACCCACTCCATACACAGAGTAGACAGGGATGGGCAACTTAGACATTGGCTACCCAAAATGGGGGGGGCTACAAAGACAAGAAGTGACTGGCTTACAAACTTTCAAGAGGGAACCTAGATCTAGAGGGCGTGAAGGAAGGTAGAATCTCCACTGAGTAGTATCCAATCTGATGATAGGAAATGCAGATAGGTCTCTTGTGATACAATAGTGAATAATTGTTACCAGGACTGATTGTGAGGGTTGGAAACGTAAAGGTAGACATTTTGTAACAAGGAGGGGAGTGATTAACTTTTCAGTCTAGGAGCAGAGGTCCCTGGAACCATCAAGGGAGAAGAGCAGAGAGCCGGACCCTACCCAGAAAAGCAGTGACACCAGAGATGGAGGCAGAGAGGATGACGTGGAGAGATGGAATGGCTGGGGACTCTAGACCCAGAGAGGGAGAGGGGCTGTGTGCTGACCACCGAGAGGCAGGCTTGCAGGGTATAACCTTTGGTTGGTTGATGATGATACATGGAGGGGATTGTAATCATGGCAATGAAATGATACACAATAGGATGAATGTAAAACTAATGTTCTCCCATGTAAACTATCACATAATTCACAATAAAACATTTTTAAAAAATAATAAGGATGATGAAGAAGGATAACCCTGATGCACACATTTTACACCAGGCAGTAGTCCCTGTTCTCTTTGGTCTAAGTACAGGTGCCACATGAGCACAATGAGGTGTTCTGGAATTTCCATTCTTTAAAGTGCTATCCAATTTGTTATGATCCACATAGTTGAATATCTTTGCAGAGTCAAAAACACAAGTAGTAGGGGGCGGGTTTCTGGGATATACCCTTTAGGTGGTTGATGATGCAGGGATTGGAACCATGGCAATGAGATGATATACGATGGAATGAATGTAAAATTAAAGTTCCCCCATGTAAACTACCATATAATTCAGAATAAAACATTAAAAAAAACAACAACACAGAAGTAAACATCTTTCTGGCATTCTCTGCTTTCAGCCAAGATATATCAGCAATGACATCCCTCTTTCCACATCCTCTTCTGAATCCAGCTTGAATTTCTCACAGTTCCCCATCAATGTACTGCTACAACAGTTTTTTAATTGACTAGCAAAATTTTATCTGCGTGCAATATTAATGGTATCGTTTGATAATTTCCTCATTCTGTTAGGTCGCTTTTCTTTCGCAAGGGTGCAAATATGGACGTCTAACAGTTGGCTAGCCAGGCAGTTAACCATCTTCCAAATTTCTTAGCCTAGACCAGTGAGTGCTTCTAGCTTAGCCACTAAAATCCTTGTGAATAGCAATGAAACACTGTCTGATATAGTGCCAGAAGATGAGCTCCTAAGGCTGGAAGGCAGTCAAAATACAACTGGGGCAGATCTGTCTCCTCAAAGCAAAGGTGACCATATGACTGGGGTGGAGCAAAGCTTTCAGAACCGTCATTTGCTGATGGCGCAAGACTCAAAATAAGAAATAGCTGCAAACATTCATTGATAATTGAAACATGGAATGTACAAAGTATGAATCTAGGAAAATTGGAAGTCATCACAAATTAAATGGAATATATAAAGATTGATGTCTTAGGCATTAGCTGAAATGGACAAGTATTGACAATTTTGAATCAGAGGACCACAGACTTTGCCATGCCAGGAATAACAAATTCATCATCAAAATGAACATTTCAAGATCTAATTTGAAATACAGTGTTGTCAGTGATAGGATAATATCTCTACGTCTACAAGAAAGGCCAGTTAGTAAGACTATTATTCATACTTACACACCAACCACCAAAGTCAGTGATGAAGAAATTGAAGACTTATACCAACTTCTACGGAGTCCTGGTAGTGCTGTGGGTTAATGCGCTTGACTGCAAAGTTTCTTTGAATCACGAGGTCAGCAGTTCAAGCTCACCAGTCACTCCTCAGAAACCCTATGCAGGATCACTATGGGTCGGAACCAACTCGAAGGCTCTTAACAACAACCAACTTCTTCAGTCTAAAATTAATCAAACATACAATCAGGATACATTGATAATTACTGGTGATTGGAATGAAAAAGTTTGAAACAAAGAGGAAGGATCCTTAGTTGTAAAATATGAGCTTAGTGATAGAAAAAATGCTGGAGATTGAGAGAATTTTGAAAGACCAATGACTTCATTGCAAATACCTTTTTCAATAATATAAAGCAAATGAAAGAAATATTGAAGTAAAAAAGCTGAAGGGAAAATTTCAAAGCACAGATCAGAAAGACAAAGTATTGAAATGTGCTAAGATACGGAGTTAGCAAAACAAAAGGGAAGAACTCACTCAGC